AAACACCATTGGAGGTATGGTCTGGAAAACCTGCTACTGATTATGATTCCTTACATGTATTTGGATCCACTACTTATTATCATGTGAAGGAATCAAGCTTGATCCAAGAGCAAAGAAGGCTATTTTTATGGGAATCACCCATGGAGTGAAGGGATTCCGCCTTTGGTGTTTAGACACCAAGAAGATAATTTGTAGCAGAGATGTTACCTTTGATGAATCTGCCCTAGTAAAGAAGGTAACAAATGAAGTTGTCCAGACAAGTAGTACTCCGTAGCAGGTGGAGCATACTCCAAAACAAGTGGAGTTTCAGAAGATGATGATCCCAGAAGTTGAGCAGCTGATTCTTCAAATCCAATAGAAAAATTAGAAGATGAAGAGGTTTAAACCTAAGAACCATTGGAGACACAAAACCACTTGCAGTTACAAGGCCATGGAGAGAAATTTGTAGACCTGCTCGATTTGTTGATATGGTCGTATGCTCTTCCAGTTGTTGATGATGATATCTCTATCACTTACCAAGAAGCAATACAAGGCTTGGAAAGTGATAAGTGGAAAAGTGTCATGGATGAAGAAATGCAATCTCTCCAAAAGAAAAACACTTAGAAACTGGCATAATTACTGAAAGGTAAAAGAGCAATTGGATGCTAGTGGGTATTTGCAAAGAATGATGGATCTCATAGCAAGAAAGATGTTCATTACAAGGCACGGTTGGTAGCTAAAGGCTACGCTCAAAAGGAGGGAATCGACTTCAATGAAGTATTTTCGCCTGTCTTGAAGCATTCCTCCATTAGAATATTGTTGGCCTTGGTAGCACAGTTGAATTTGGAGCTAGCTCAACTTGATGTAAAGACGACTTTCTTGCACGATGATTTAGAAGAGGAGATCTATATGACTCAGCTAGAAGGATGCAATGATGGTGGTTGTGAGAAATGGGTTTGTAAGCTGAACAAGTCGCTATATGGATTGAAGCAATCTCTGAGGCAGTGGTACAAGCGATTTGATAGCTTTATGAGGAGGCAAAAGTACACTAGAAGCGAATATAATCATTTTGTGTATTTGCAAAAGCTCAAAGATGGATCGTTCATTTATCTTCTCTTGTACGTTGACGATATGTTGATCTCTTCGAAGATTCAAAAGGAGATAACAAATTAAAGGCTCAGTTGAATCAAGAGTTTGAGATGAAAGATCTAGGTGAGGCCAAGAAGATTCTTGGTATGGAAATAAGCAGAGATAGATAGAGAGGGAAGCTTTGTTTAACACAGAATCAGTATCTGAGAAAGGTATTACAATGTTTTGGCATGAATGAAAATACCAAACATGTAAGTATCCTACTGGCTTCTCATTTGAAACTTAGTTCTCAATTATCTCCTAAAACTAACGAAGAACGAGAGTATATGCAAAAGTTTCATATGCTTATACAGTTGGAGCTTGATGTATGCAATGGTGTGTATGCGCCTGACATTTCACAAGCAGTTGGAGTTGTGAGCAGATACATGCATGATCCTGCAGAAGGACATTGGAAAGTTGTGAAATGGATTCTACGGTATCTCCAACAAACCGTGGATGTTGGTTTAGTTTTTGAACATGAAGAAACACTTAGTCAGTGTGTGGTTGGATATGTTGATTCCGATTATGCTGGTGATTTGGATAAGTGTCAATCAACTAATGGGTATTTGTTTACTCTTGCTAAAGCCGTGAAGGAAGAAATTTGGCTTAACGGGTTGATGGAAGACTTGGGAGTTGTTCAAAGTCACATTAGTCTCTATTGTGACAGTCAGAGCGCTATTCACTTAGCGAAAAATCAAGTCTACCATTCAAGGACTAAGCATATCGACGTGAGGTATCACTTTGTGCAGGAGATCTTTGAAGAAGGAAAGATTATGCTTTAGAAAATTGCGATAGCAGAAAATCCTACAGACATGATGACCAATGTAGTAACAGTAATCAAATTCAATCATTGTTTGAACTTGATTAACATCCAGAAAGTATGAACACCTTCGGGTGTGTGGCGCTTGTGAGCACAATTAGAGGCACAACATCAAATTTGGGGAGTTGAAGAAGTTGAGTAGTCTTGGTAATTTCAAGCCAAGGTGGAGATTTGTTATGTTTGTCTTGAAATTAAGTTTGGCAAGTTGGAAAATTCATATTGGTTGGTAGCCAACTTATTGGAAAATTTCATCTTGGTTGGTGGCCAACTTATTGGAAATTTTATCTTTGGTAGGTGGCCAACTTTGCATATGGGAATTTCAATTTTGTTCCTAAAATATTAGGTTATTTATAAGTTTAGTCCTTAAAACTCAACTATAAATAGGCCTAAGTATTTCATTAGAAGTCATCCCAAAAAACAAGTTCTCTCTTCCATTTGTTTTTCTTCATTATCTCACTTTGGGAATTCTAAAGAATTCCATTTGTTGTAATATTTTGTTGATAGTGAAGTTATCATCCGGTGTGGTGCCCGAGGAGTAGACGATATTCTCGTCGAACCTCGTAAATTTGGTATGTTCTCTCATTTATTGTTCTTTATTGAGTTTTCCATTGTGTTTCAATATTCAATAGTTTGACGGGTTTATCCGCTGTGCAACCTTTGGTGGTTTTGATCTTGACATTTTAGGTCAATTTTGAAACTACGTTTGTGTGGGAAATAACCCAGTTTCCCAACAGATATAAATCATAAGACTGTTAAAATTATTCCCAACCTTACTTAAAATGATCATCTTATTTCTTGATATAATTATATGTCAAATTGATATAACTACAAGCAATTAAACACAAATTTAATTACTTGGTGGCTTTCCAAAAACACCTTTAATTACGCTTACAAAATTTTATTTTCAATTCTTTTTTTGTTATTCTTCCGGTTTCAGGGTTTTGATTTCATTGTATACATTTAGAAAATATATTTATTTATTTTTTATGTTTAATAAATATATTGTTGTTAGAATTTGCAATTTGTTTCTTTAATAGTGATTTTATGATTTGTAGATATATAATATCTGTTGTGTAAGCATATATATTCGAACAAGTGAATAGTGAGTATTACCTCACGAGGATTAATTAAATCTTAAATTCTGATTAATCATTGATGATTAAAAAACTGAAATTAATTAATGATTTAAACAAATGAAAAAAATATAATAAAATGGTTCTTAATATGAAAAGTAGTTGAAAACAAGGCGTAACAAATCTTACAACAAAGACTAAATAATGATGATGAAACAACTTGGATTGCCAACCTTGTCATGGCCTTAACACTAGGGTGTTGCTATAGAGATGATGTTAGTATTGGCATGACCAGGGACGGAGTCGTGATATCAGTTTAAGGAGACAAAGGATTATTAATAAAGAAAAGATAATTAAAATTAAAAGATCTAATTTGATATTTACCCATGTATATTTTTAAATTATATAAAGATGGAGGCATGCCCACTGGACAATGCATAGATTTGTTCCTGGACATAAGAATAAAAATAAAAATCACAGAAAAGTAATTTACAAACGGTTCGTGGTGAACCAATTATCATAACAACATATATATAAATCCTGAAAATTATGCTGTAAAGGTGAAGACTTGATGCAAAAGCTATTCAGCAAGACAAGTGAGAAGAGTAAACCTCAAGTAAGCCTTAAAATCAGAAAAGCCCTGCACAGTATGCAATGCTCATTCAATTTTTTGGCAGACTATCACTTCATTGCAGCTATGAAATAAAAGAGATAATCATGGGCTATGATAATTTTTTTTGAAAGGTAAATATATGATTGATTATGACTGAAACATACAAGAGAGGGAAAACAATGACATGAATCTCGTTAAAAAATCTCCCCAAGTCTCGTGGAGGAAAAAGAGTGTTCATGTCAGTGCTATATGAGTAGAATTCGACCAAAACGGAAAACTGCTTATAATTACAACACCATAAGCAAAACCACCCAACCAACGACAAAGCAAAACACAACAACAGCCAAACTCCCTCCGAACACTAACACTCCAAGCATCCCAGGTGCAAAGCACGAAGACCAACCCCTCGGGAGACCAAACAGACTTGACAAGGATATCCATCAAGACCATGAGATTTAGCGACAAACCGATCAAACAAAACAGCATCGAGGTGAGGACAGACCCCGAGGCCAATACGAGCAACATCACAAAGCTACCTACAGACGAATCACCAACTAGAGACACAAGCACTAACTAATTAACCCATCCAGTGGAAATCATTCAATCCATCTTGTTATATTGAGTACAGCTTCAGCGCTCCATCTTGTTATATTGAACACAGCTTCAGCGCCTTCTTGTCTATTTAACACGATGGATGTGATTGCTTGCCGATCCATCCCTTTTGATCTGCATATGTTCTCCATAAGTTCAGGTGAAACGTCAGACAAATAAACTTCATTTAGATTGGATTCGCTTTCCCAACCATGAGGCAATGTCGTGAACTGTTGGCATTCAATGACTTTTAGGTTTTGAAGACCAGGCATTACTCCTTTATTGATCACAATTTCTTTCAATCGAGGACATCCGCCGATTTGTAAAATCTTAAGCTTTTGGAACCCTTCAAGGAATTCTAATTGCTCTCCCTCGTAAGCATTCAGTAGTCTGATTTCTCCAAGGTCAGGCAATGCTTGGATGCTTGGAAGAAAATCGTCCTTCAATCTAGACCAATGTAAACATAAACATTTGAGGTTGTAAAGCGAGTTAAACCAGTGCGGTACCTTCTCCAATTTCCCAGATAAGAAAAGTATCCCAAGGACAGGGGGAGCTGATTCCATTGCATCCATTTTCAATAGCTCATCTTCATTACATGATTTCGCCCCTAAGTAATCAAGGCGTGTCATTTTTGCAATGGCAAAGCACAGTTTTTTCTCATCAGTTCCCTTGACGTTGCCTACTTCAAGCCTTTTCAATTGTGCCATTTTACTGAGTTGTTTGATGAAATCGCCACTTGCTTCCACAAAGGTGAAATTTTGTCAGTTGTTTAGCAAACAAATGTTGGATGGAACTACTATGCCGTTGCCGAGCAAAAGTCAAATGCCCTTTGGTTTTCACAGAAACGATAAGCGATTAGATGCCGAAGATTTTTTAACTTCACAATTCCTGCAGGAATCTCTTTGATTTGCGTCTTCTTCATAACTAGAGACTGTAAGTTGTAAAGGTTCCCGATGGATTTTGGAAGCTCTTTTACTTGAGTTCTTGTGAGGTTAAGATATCTCAAATTGAATAAATTCACCAATTCATCTGGGAGTTCATCGATTGGAGTGTCTTCTAAATCCAACACTCTCATCAATTTAAAACCAGTCAGCAGCCTATTGAAGGAAGATTTAGAGGTTTCATGAACAGAAAAACAAACAAAGAACGAACCCGAGATAACGCTGTCTTGCTTCCGGCTTTCATCTCTTTCGCCTTTGCTGTAATCGACCAACGACGGATTCCATCATATTCCACTTCTTTGCCATCAGATTTGGCAACAAACTTTTCCATTTTCGATATGGAAACTGCGAACTCCAGCAAAATGTCATGCATCTTGCATGCTTTAGGCCTCCCTGATCCAGTCCTCCTTACAACTTGAAGTAGGCCTCTGGAAATCAAATCGTTTAGGCATCTCTCTGCCTCATCTTCCGGAATTGATCCTTACACGGTTCAACAAAGCCTTCAGCCACCCAAAGTCTAATGATCCTGTTCCGTTTAAATCACATAATCTTCTGGGAATATGCAAAAATATAGGAAACATTGCTTGAGAGCGTAAGACAAATCATGGTAGCTAAGCAATGAAATATACCTGAGCCTCTCAAAATATGAATCATTTTCGCTTAGCTCCTTATTTAAGTTGTTATAAACTTCATTCCATTCGGCAATAGAGTTCTTGGTAGCCATCAAACCGCCCAAAGCCACAATAGCTAATGGCAAGCCTTCACATTTTGCAACCAGCTTTCTTGCCGAAGATACAAGATATGGAGGGCATTGTCCGCCCTTGCGTTCAAAAGCTTTGTTGCAAAAAAGGGTCAGACTCTCATCAAAAGGTAAGTTTTTGAGCCTAAGGATGTGGTTTGCAACTCCAAATTCAAAAGAAATAACGTCTTCCTTCCGCGTTGTGAGCAAGATTCGGCTTCCATTCATATTGACAGGTAGTGCCATGCTGATATCTTGCCAGAGCTCGATGCTCCAAACATCATCTAGCACAATTAGATATCTTCTTGGCTGCAAGAAGTTCACCAGTGCGTACACCAAATCTTGATAGCTCATGGAGTCTAGGTTGATCGCCGGATCTATGTTTTTTTGGGCCTTGTGGTAGAGCTCTTTGATCATGGACTTGAATAACTCCGTCACAACATATTGCCTCGAGACAGTAATCCATGCACAACAATCGAAATGTTGCTTGACAACTTGCTTGTTGAAAGTGTTGGCGACCAGAGTTGTTTTCCCTAGACCACCCATCCCACCACGGAAGTCATGGTCCTTTGAAGCTCCTGGTTCATCAACCATCCCAATAACTCTTGTTGTGCCGTATCGATCCCAACAAGGTCACCATCTTTAAAGAAAATGGCAGATTCACTCATATTTTTCATCCGTTGTTCATATGATACTCTCTTCTAATTTGCTCATTATATTTTCTTGATTCCGAACAAACTTGGTATCGTTTGTTCCTCCCATCACTGCTCTTGATCCTTTTCTTGATATCTTGTAGCTCGACAGCCAGTCGGTGCCTGACCAGCAGATTCTTAGGAAAATGAACGAGCTTCAAGAGAACCTCGAGGGTTTACCCCTCCATCGCCGTTGCTTGTTAAAGTGGTACATGAATTCGTCCACGACGAGTTCAACTTCGCAGGCGATGTCTCTGACATATTTGACCCACTGATTATGCGTTTCGTTGTTGGGTCCCACTACGGATCTTCTGTCGGTTGCGTGAAGGAATGTTTTCATGAAGTTGAGCTCATCCTTGATTTGGTCGATTTCAGCTCCAACCTCCATCAGCAACGAGGCTTCGTTTTCTAAAACGGAGACAATCTTGCCCGTTATCAGGTCGACGGCGCTTGATATATCCATTGTTTCAAGCAAAGAGAGCACAACAGTATCGAAATCGAATAAATTTCATGGAGACAGGCTTGACAATGATACGATTATATAACTGCAAATGAAAAGCAAGTTGGGATGAAAAGTTTTATTATATTCAATCTTACCGAGTAAAGTCAACGCAGAATTTTATCGGGTAAAGTAGACAAAAGTACTGCTATTAAAATTTATAAAATCATTCTGTCTCTATGTAGTTATTTATCGAGTTCTCCGAATATTAAATATTAAAAATAATCATTCGATTATTTATATGTTTTAAATTATTTTTTTTGTAAAAAATTTGGTTGTCGTCTGAATTGAACGTTAATATATTGACTATGATATGATAAAATTTGATCTCAGAACCGTTTGAACTATATTTTGTAGATCAACTCTCTGTTTGCATTATTTTATCTAGCTAGTGCTTGAAATATTATGTTATTAAAATATGATTTTATCATATCTTATTCATCAGGTTAATGTCCAACTCAAACGATCGTCAATTTTTAACGAAAAATATGAGTTTGGAACATATGAACAATGATGTGACCATTTTATAATTTTTAATAGTCGGAGACTCAGAAAGGTAGTGCCCTATAGTTGAGAGACCATTTTGTAAATTTTAATAATCGAGAGACTCAACAAAGCAACATCCTATAGTCAGAGGATTATTTGTATACTTTACAAAATTTATTTAGGGGTACGAACTTAAAAAATTATAGTAGAAATTTAAGGATGCAAAATTATAAAATTCCATGTGTGAAATTAAATTATCAATAGAAAATACAAAGAAAATATATAAACTATACGAGAATTTAAAGTTTTCAGGAGTGCAGTCGTATTACCCGACAACTCCTCTATTCATTCCTAGTCATTATTTAACTATATGAAATATTTAAGGGTACAAATTCACAAAATTTTAAGAGATATAAAATTAAATTCTTAATTAAAAATATAAAAAAATAAATTATATAAAATTTTCAACTTTTTAAGTTGATTAGGATCTCAACACCCTTTAATCTATCCTTGATTGGTTGATCTCTTTGCTTCGTGACCGTTAATAACTTACAAACTAATTGTTGTTCAAATGGTAAATAGTTTGATATCGCTTAAACAAAATATCGAGTTCGAGTCCTTGTATATGCAGACAATCCTTGTTGGGAGACTCACCTACCAAAATTAGGTGTACGACGATGATCGGTCCATATTAGTCCAAAAGAGAAAAAGAAAAACTAGTTGTTGTTCTAATGTCTGACTTTTATAAAGCTATTACATAAATAAACTACCACATTGATTATAATAATTGCAAAGAAAGTAAAAACTCACAGTTGACATTTTTATTCAGCTTTGGATCATGTGCTGTGGATTTATTTTATTTGGTATTGTTTGTTGGTGTGGTTTGATTAGAATATTCTGACCAGGACAAACATTGTGAGTGAATTTTACTAGCTTCCTATCCGTCTCGGTTATTGCTAAATGTGTTTATTTTAAACATGGAAGAAGATGCAGATGTTCCCACTAACACAATATTCTACGGCCACCACCAATTTCCCCAAGCTAAATCATTCGAATTTAAAGTTGAACACGTAATATTTTAATAGTAAAATAAAAAACCTACAAGTTGAAACGAACATTGACTTGGTTTATGGAGAAGGAAGCATTGGACAAAATTTTCAGATAATGCATGTGAAAAAATTCGTGAAATAATATAATTCGTAAATTAATTGTTTGAATAGGATGAATACTACAGTCAAAGACGGAATCGCATTGGAAACATGGCGTTCATAGTGGAACACCATGCGTCTTCGGCCATGAAGTTTTAGAGGCGTACCAAATGCGGTGCACCTTTCACTTGCTTGAAGCTGTCTCCCGTGAACTTGCATGGCCCGTGAAGCTGCAACATGCATGGCACGGCATGGCAACAATAATGGTGTAATAAAGATGGGGATGGGAAGTTTTGATCTATAGGAGTGTTATGGGTGGGAGTGTGGATAACCAGAAATCAAATTTAAGAAGAAAAGAGAAAGGAGAGGAGAAGAAATAAGGGAAGAGAGAAAAAAGAAGAAGAAAGAAATATATTCGAAGGTAATTTTTTTATTTTTTAGATTATTTTATTCATAAATTAATATAGATGATTTTTTTATTTATTTTTATTTATTAAATTAATTTTTTATACAAAGTATTTGATCATACATTGAATAAATGCACCAATGCTTTTAATAATCAAAGCATCTAATATCTAAATTTGGATAAAGCTGAATTAAACTTAGAGTTGAGTCAATGCACTAATTGCATTTAATAATCAAAGCTGAATTTATAATATTTACAGATAGCTTCTCTTGTATTTGCATTCCATCTTATAAACATGGCCGAAGACAGCTTCAAGCTGGTGGAAGATGCACTGCAGTTGGTGTGACCCTAAACCCTTGTGGCCAAAGATATATGGTGTTCCATGCGACACACCATGGACTCCATGCTACCAATGCAACTCCGTCTTCGACTGTAGCATTTGTCCTATTTAAACAATTAATTCACAGGTTGCATCATTTCACGAATGTTTTTTCATATGCATTATCTAAATTTTTTACCGAAGCATTGGGTTTATGGGGCCGATACCCTAGTCTCTCGAGCAAGGATAAACCAACAAACGGGTGGGGCAGTTGTTTTTTCGTTATGTTTGACCGTTAAAAAAATCCATCAACCGTTCAAAACATTTAAAAAAAATATTATTATTAAAAAAACTAAAAAAATCTCTAAAATCAAAAAAAGAATAACTCCTATAATTCTTAATTTCAAACTCTTATTATTGTTGTTGATCATCTTCGATCGCCGCCACCATCGTCTAATGATATTCACCCATCGTCGTCTGCACACTAACCTACTATCAACATTTCAACTATCCTAAATCTCTAAAATCTTTAAATTTAAACCTTTAAATCCTTAAAATCTCTAATACCCAAATTTCCAATAACCAAATTCCTTTCCCCTCATCGTAGTTGGCTAAACCTCTTCTAGAAAGAAATTCTATAGCACTAAAGTTTGTTCAAAGAGCTAGCAATTCCTTCTTTCTATTCTGTTTTGTACATGTCTACTACTGATTCTATGCCATTAAACCATACTAACAATAGTGATAACTATCGTTTCGTTATCAAAATAATTTTGGCTTCTTAATTAAATAGAAAGGAAAAGATAGTATAGCGAAGCAAGGTCGATCCACATGGATTATGATTTTTGTGATTTAGTAAAATTGTTTCTTGATTTTAGGAAAAGATAGAATTCCAGGTAAAGTTGAAAAGATATAATAAAATAAATAATTATAATTTAAAAAAGGAAAAATAATAAATATTAATAAATATAAAAAAGGGGATTTAAAATTATTTAACGAAGTATAATAAAATAAAAACTAAATTAAAAAATAAATAAAATAATTAAATTGGGATAAAGAAAACTTATTGTGGAAGCAGTGATAACCGTTGTTTTGCTATCAAAATATTCCAGCTTCTTAATAAATAGAAAGGAAAAGGTAATATAGAGAAGTAGGGTCGATCCACAGGGACTATGTTTTTTGATTTAATAAAACTCTTTGATTTAGAGGAGGGTAGAATTCCAGATGAAGTTGAAAAGATATAATAAAATAAAATAAATAATTATAATTTAAAAAGAAAAAATAATAAAATAAATAATAATAAATAAAAAGGAAAATAATAAAATAATAAATAGTAGTAGTAAAGATAAAAATGAGGTTTTTTAAAAGTTGTTTTTTAAAATAAAAATAAGAATTAAATAAAGGAAAATAATTAAATAAATAAAGTAAAGAGATTGAGATAAAGAGAAACTTATAGTGAAAACAACCTCAGACTTCAGCTTTGTCTCAAATTCCTCGGATCATAGAAACAGATTTTTACTTCAAGATTTACTTCGGCTTACAAGGACAATTCTTCGCTGCCAAGTCAGATTGTGTCGTTTCAACAATAACTGATTCCGATCTTAGTTTCTTCTTAACAAACAATCTTGCTAAGTGTGTTCTTGTGAAGTCGAGTATGCTTCAATGAGCAAATTCTTCTTCAAACGTTAATCATAACAACATCCGAACCAATGTCGAAATCATTTTGATTTGAAAAGTAAGATCAGAAAATAGAGAGAGAAATCCGAAGCAATTTAAGTACCTTACAATTCTCACATTTGGAATTGAGCCTTCATTTTAGCCATCAGTTTGAAAGAAAATTAGCTAAGCATGACCAAAGTCATACTTAGCATTGTTGAAAATGAAATTTAAAGAAAAATAAAGGAGAATGCGAAAATAGAGAGAAACCTAGAGAAAAAGAAGATTTTATTCTCAAATGAGAGAGATATGTTTCTAGGCTTACCCTGAGAGGGTATTTATAGTCTTCAAATTCTTAAAAACAAGCTAAAACATCTTAAATCCTAATTAA